CACACACACACACACACACACACACACACACACACACACAAACCTCCAGAATATTTGGAGATACTAGTTATCATCATCTCATCTCAAAAGGAAAGAGGTATAGAATGCTATGTGCAGTGCCCAGAGACACAGAGATAATGATGGAGCCCACACACAAACCTGGATCCATTTAAGTACCTTGGTATTACTCCTAGGTCCCATTGCCATAAATGTAACTCAGCATCCCAAAATACCAACTCTAGCCACAAACCAAGGCTCCATTTTGTTGTAGGGACAGACAAGGCAAGGCACCGAAGATAGCAGGAAACAGTTTTCTTTGGCTGCAGCCAGGTTCAGACGGCACAGCTTTTGCTGTAATCAATCAATCCCCTGAACCCTGAGTACAGGTAGTTTCAGAATTTTATAACCAGCATATAATGGGAGGGGCTCGGAAGTTCACAGTCTGCAGAAGTCCACATAAAAGCAGCTTTTTTTTTTCACTGTTTTGGGCAAGTTAACCCTTCAAAGACAACACCTGAGAAGGGGAGAGCTTCTTCTCCCCTTTCTTTCCTCCCCCTGCCAGCTGTTACCACTGAGCCTAACTGTTAACTTCTCTTATCTTAATAGACATCTCTGTGAAGCTCCAGCTCAAGACCAGAGGCCTTGTTTACACATTTCTGCAAACTACTATACTAGATATATGTTTGAGAAAAACTAGTAAAGGGGGTGTCCAGCACCTGGAGTGCTGATTTCTTCCAGGAAAGAGGCCAGGTAAATTAGGGCAACAGGAAAATAGGAAGTTTATCTCATTGAACTCTTTTATTGACAGTCCTAAAATCAGCCATGGTGAAGATTTCTGGAAAAACGCAGTTAAGATTTTCTGTGGAGAAAGAGGGTGCCTACAATTTCCCAAGTCTCCTTTTAGTTGACACAAACCCAAGGTGTCAACTCATACATAAGACTTTGCTCCTTGCTTCTCTCCTGTCTGGTATGACTTTCTGGCCTGGCCCCAGAACATGCAGTTGGACCTTTAATGATCTTGCCATCTACAGAATCAGCCCTCTGTGTACTTTGTGCTCTTGCTTTCTCTTTCTTTATATAGCAGAGAGTTAGTTACCAGTGTAAAAAAATCAGTGGATATCTCTAGAAAATTATTGCATAATTCTAAAGTGCAGTTTTTTTATATAAAAAATAAATAGACCTTCCAAAACTTAAAAAAAAATTAATAATTTTAACTTTCAATTTTGAATGAGAAAGTGACATGTTTGTTGACAAACATTGATAATGTCTTTAATTTGTTAAATAGGCTGGAAAAGTTAAATTATAATAGACTAAAAATATTTACTGTATTTTCAGTTTAACTTCTATGAGAATAACCTAATTTCCCTACCCAAGAGAGAGAAAAAGCATATACAAAGTAGTAAATCATTTATTTTTATCAAAATAATATAAGTCAATTTCTCCTTTCAATAAATGAACAAAACATCCAAAAAGACATATTTACACAATTAAAAAGTAAATAATTTGAGAGAAGATAAACTCTATTATTACATTTAAATGAGCAGAAAGACATATTTGCCTGATGGTTTTAAGCTGTCCAACAGCCTTCACGAAGGTTTTGTAGTTGATGGCAACGGAGATTTTCCTTTCATCTTAGCTGCCTTTTCCATTTTTACCTGTAAATTTAAAACATTCATTTATTTACTAAGTAGTAGACCATTCTAAGGAACAAAAGACTGCACATACCTCATTTGGATTCAGGCCTTATTTATCACAACCATGCCACTCAGTTAATAAGCTGCCATATACTAAAGCCCAAATCCGATCCTTAAAGAGACATGATTGCTTGTTTTTAAGTGCTGTGATTTTAACTTTACAGAAGCATTTTAATAAAAACAATATATAAGTAAACATTGCTTTAGAAGAGAGGATCAATTAATTTGACCTGCTAGTAAAATTTTTTTTAATACTTAAAAGCCTAACTATACATCCAGCCTGTGCACATTGCCTACAGTTACAGAATGCACCTAAGCCAGCCGGACTGTCTCTGACACCTGGACTCCTTTAAGGATGCTTCCCTGTAATTCTGGTGTCTATATTCCCACAGTGTTCTTCCCAAAGGCCTTGTCCTCCTCCACTGGAGTTCAAGCAAAGCAGCCGCATACATTCCCAAAGTGGCAGCCTTCTAACATTTCAGACTCATGTAATAACCCTTCCCATGGGATTAAAGAACACAAAGCAGAACACAACCCCACCTGCTTCTTACCCCCACTCATATTCACACACCTCAATTTTCATAGACAAGAGAAGGGGACAGAAAATAAACAGCATGGCGGTGGAGACAGGGCTTCCTAGCTTCCAACCTGGGAGAGATAGTGTGAAGAAACCAGGAGGGACCTGGTAAAACCAGTCTATCCAATCCCATCAAATCAAAGCAACAAATTCCCAATAATAAAAGTAATAAAACTAACCTGTACTTCTCCCTCATTATTTTCTCTCTCCTCTGTGAAACAAACCTCATTCAGGAACCATGCATTCATGTCACTGTCACACACTATTATCAGTCAACAGGTCATCTGAAGGATCTCCAAAGGGCACCCTACTCTAAGGCAAAGATTACAGGTTTTGGAGGCGAAAGAAGAGCATTTGAATTCTACCTCTTTATCAAAGATTTGGGGCAAGAAATTTAATCAATAGTTTCTCATTTATTTTTTTTTAAAAAGTCATAGTAATAGCTACGTCTCAAGGTTGTTGTGAAGGCATAAGTAAAATTATATAGATCAATATAATTGATCAATAAGTACTCAACAATTGCTGCTCCCCTGTCTCCTCTCATTTAAAGCCAAATGTGAGATTTGCAGTAACACTTGGTAGGAACGACTACTGGAAATTGAACCCAGGGTCACTTTACCACTGAGCCACATCCCCAGGCCTTCTTATTTTTTTTTATTTTGAAACAAGGCTCACTCAGTTGCTGAGGCTGACCTGGAATTTCCAATCTTCCTGTCTCAGGCTCCTGAGTGGCTGGGATTACAGGTGTATTCCACCATACCCAATTATATTAACTCTTTTTTTTTAAATGCAGCAAACATGCAAAACAACAAACAAAAGCAGTTTACTCACTTAAAATAAAACTTAATACATCCATCTAGAGTCCCAAGTATCTCCTTCTCCTACTTTCCCTTTCTTTTAATATTTATTTCCTGGGGCTGGGGATGTAGCTCAGGGGTAGAGTGCTTGC